CGCCTTTGTGACTACAAGGACTAGAACCACAGCAACACCAAGCTGCAGTCACTGTCTAACAGCCACGCCCTTCACTGCCTGCATTCTGGAATCCCCAAGCATAGGGAAAAGCGACCTACTGACTCCCCCCACTGCACAGGGATCAGCCAGGACCTGGAACTGCCGAGTGACCAGTGCAAGTACATCCCAGCATCAGCACTGAAGACAGCACAGCCCCAGCAGCAGCACCTTCCCAACTAACTGAGCAGCCTGCCCTTCAGTGTTCAGCAGCTGCCAGGGCACAGCCAGCCCCTGTCTGCACCCACCCACCACCAAGCCCACTTCTGTTCTCAGGATCCAAAGACAGAGGGACAAACAGTGCTCAGGGGCTAAGGGGGAGGGTACCTGGAGCAAAAAGCTGCCTGGATATTCCTTGTAACCCCTCATTTCTGTTTCTACTCATTGGAAGCAATCCCTCCCCTCCCAGCAGCGTAAGGCACGCTGTCACAAACCCTGTGGTTGGGCTGTTTGAAACACAGCAGGGCAGCCCCTGTTCTGATCTCCCTGGCTCCCAGGGCCTGATCAACAGGAAATGTCTCTCTTTGCAAAGCTCTGCTCTTCCCATTCCTTTCCTGCCTCTCTGGGCATAGCCCCACTGTCACAAAAGTCATTTCTGTGTCCTCTCGGGGCACAGAGGCCAGAGGCGATGCCATAAAGCCCAAGTTTGCTTGGCAGCAGCACCTTCCCAACGAACTGAGCAGCCTGCCCTTCACAGCTCCTGACAAAGCTGTCATCTGTGATCAAGCTGAGCCACGATTTCTGTGTCCTCTTTGGTGGGCGGCAGAAAGCGATGCCATAAAGCAGGAAGTTCTGGGAATTCCTTCAGCCCCTCATCTGTGTCCAGGAAGCCTGGCAGTGTGGGCCTGGCGGTAGATTTCAGCATTCCAGAGGATGCGGGGGTGCATCACCTGCTGCTTCTGCCCCTCGTAGCTGTTCTTCACCAGCCACTCCAGCCCATAGCGCGTCACGTGCCCGTCCGGCCCTGAGGCAAGGGACCAGAGTCACAGTCACCACCAGTGGATGCCACAGTCCCAGGTCATGATCAGCACAATCACCAGTCTCACCCCCCGGGCCCCTCCCCCTCTCCAGGGCTTCCTCCTCATCTTCATCCTCATTCTCAGTTGAGCTCTCCTGGAACGCATCTTCTCATAGATGCAGCAGCACTTGGAGGAGTGGTTGCCCAGGTGTTCGTTGTCTACGGTGTCACTTGACCACTCCACTTTCTTGTCCAGCTTCCGCTTGTGCAGCTTCAGCGTCAGGCTGCGGTTCTCCAGCTTGGCGGCACTGGTCTCGGTGACAGTGGCGGTGCTGTAGCCACTGGCGTCTGCCACCTCCGCCATGATCCCAGGCTGGTGTTAAGGGGTTTTTAGGTCTTGGGAAATCTGTGATGATAAGGGTGCTACGGTTCATTCCCCAGTCTGACACCCCAAGTATTGTCATGGCGCCATCTTCTGGACCTTCTCCGTCACTATTGCACGGTGAAACACGGTTAGAGCTTTTGCTGTTGCGGTTAGCACCACTTCTAGCTGTGGCCCGGTGGAAGCAGCAGTTAACATATCATCCATGTAATGATATATCAAACAGCCAGAGAAGGATGTACGAACTGGTGATAATGCTTGCGCCATATGCCGTTGGTATATAGTAGGGCTGTTTTTCATTCCCTGGTGTAGAACTGTCCAGTGATATCTGCTAGGCTCAGCCATATTTATTTGACAGGACAGAAAAGGCAAAACGTGGAGCATCGTCAGGGTGCAGTGGAATTGTAAAAAAGCGATCTTTTAAATCTATAACAATGAGCGGCCAGTCCTGAGGAATAGCAGTGGGTGAGGGCAGGCCTTGTTGCAAAGGGACCATGTCTTCCAGAACAGCATTTAGTGCCCAGAGGTCCTGCAAAAGCCTCCACTTTCCTGACTTTTTCTGGATAGCAAAGATCCGTGTGTTCCAAGGGCTCTGGGTTGGAACTATATGTCCCAACTACAGTTGCTCATTCACAAGATTTTTGAGGTGTCGCAGCTTTTCTGCAGTCAGAGGCCACAGATCCACCCAGACAAGTGTAGCCGTAAGCCATGTCGTTTTTAGGGTAAGCTGCTCATCAGTGGCCCCTGGATAAAATTTTGTAGCTGTACATTCCTTTGGGATAGTGCATCTCATCCCCACAGTGTCACCGGAACTGGGAGGATCGGAGGTTTAAGCGTTGCCGCTTGGTTCTCAGGACCTACAATTAATATCAGAGATTTGCTCTGGTAGGGACTTATGGCCCCCTATCCCGGTCACCAAGGTCTGGGCCGGCTCCGAACCCCAATGCAGAGGCCAGTCTTGGACCGCAGTGATGGTAACGTCCACTCCTGTATCTATCAGACCATTGACAGTTATTTCCTGATTGACGGAATTACAGACCTTACAGCTGAACATTGGTCTTTTTGCTTTTATGTCCTCAGTCCAATAAACCATTGGGACCCCGGTGAAGCTGAAACCTTTCTCTAGTCTTTGGGAATCAGTCAAAGTTTTTTTGATTCTCATCCTGCATTGCAAAAAATGGGACGAGCTGGGTGATTCGGGATCCTGCTGGTATAAAACATGGGGGTTGAGGGGTCCACACCATAATTTTTATTTCCCCTGTATAGTCTGCATCGATTACCCCTGGCAGCACAAACAGGCCCATAAGGGTGGTGGAGGAGCATCCCAGGAGCAGGGAGTGTCCTTCCAACTTGGGCCCTTGTACTCCAGTGGGTATAGCTACAGGCTTTGAATCTTCTAAGTACGTAGACTGTGAGGGGGCCGAGTCCAACTTGGCGCTGCTTCGGGTGGCTGCCCTGAGTTGGTTGCTGTCACCCCCATCCACACCTTGGCATCCTGGGGGACACTTGGTATCCTCGCGCCCTTCCCCTTGGCGCTTTGGTGTCAGTTTCCCTACTGACAATTCCCCTACCAGGGATTCTGGTAGGAATTCCCCCTCCTTGTCATACATTGACCTGCAGTGATTGGCATAGTGCCTGCCTTTCCTACACCTTGGGCATATTTGGGGGCCCTTTGGGCAGTCCCGTCTCATATGGCCCATCTGGCAGCAGGAAAAAAAGGCCTCCGTATTTGACAAGTGGCAAAGGCTTGGGTCATAGTTTGCATTTGCCATGTCTGAGGTCCCACTACATTACAAGCCTCCACCACTTGGGGGATATTTGCATCGGGATTAGCCGCTGGTAGCGAATCAAGGATCTTTTTGCAATCGATATTAGCGCTGGCTACCGGGACTTTCTTTAAAAGAATTTGACGGTCTTCAGGGTGTTCAATCTGTCACTCTAACACGTCATTTAGGTGGTCAATAAGCTTCATATATGGTTCGGTAGCTTCTTGTTTTATAGTGGTGAAGGACTTTGAACCACCCCCATGTCCCTCAGGAAGGCTAAACATGGCTTTCAATGCTTCATTCTGTCCCTGGACCAAAGCCTCTCTAACAATCCACAACTGCACATTATACTCAAGAAAAGGGTCCCTCTCCCAGTAGAGCATTGGGCCCGATACCATATAGGGGATCCCCCTGCTGATGCCCCACATTTTCCGTGGCGGCATGCTCACAGGTATCCCTCCAAGCCTGCTGCAACATCATATGTTGAGTCGGGGTTAGTATTATCTGCGCCAAAGTGTGGAAGTCGTTGGGTGGTATTAAAAACTGGCTGAATGAGACCTTTCATATACGGTGAGTGGAACCCAGACTCCTTTACACCGCATCGAATCTCCTTAATCAGGCTCCATTGGAATCCTTCCCATTCCGCTGCCCCATTTGCTTGTAAAAAAGGACAGGCATGGCGAGCGCTTTCAAGCACTCTACATCCCATTCTGCCGTAGTCTGCCGTAGTCCACCGAAGATCCGGAATGGGCGCGGAGCATCGGGAAAGGCAGGGCCAGATTGCTCTCACCACCACCCCAGTGCGGTGCCCACTGACACCCCTGCTACCTGGAAACCAGCTCTAAAGACTGTGTCTGGGAAGCTGTATGTCCTGGGTTCATCAGTAGCAGTCATTTTTCCCCTTCTTGGTAGCTGGTGCAGTGCAGTGTTTTGACCTTCGGCCTGGGAACAGAGCTGATAGTAATGTTTTGGTTTGGCCAAGGACTTTGTGAGCCTCATGCTCTGCCAGGGAGGAGGGGAAGCCAGGAGGAAGCAGAGACAGGACACCTGACCCAAACTGACCAAAGAGGTATTCCATACCACAGCACGTCATGCCCAGGATGTAACTGGGAGTTAGCCGGAAGGGCTGGGAGACTGCAGGGTTGGAGGAGGTATCGGTCGGTGCTTCGTTGGGCTGAGGGGGGCGAGTTATCGGTCGGCTGGTGCTGAGGTGTTGTATTCTCTTCCCTTGATATTTCCTTTATCATTATTATCATTGGTGGTAGCAGTAGTGATTTGTGTTATACCTTAGTTACTAAACTGTTCTTATCTCAACCTGTGGGAGTTGCATTCTTTTCGATTCTCCTCTCTGTCCCTCCGGGAGCAGGGGGAGGGCAAGAAAGGGGGGGAAGTGAGTGAACGAGTTACCTGATGGGGTTTAAACCACGACACTGTAGAATGGGCTCGCGCAAGGCCTTCGCTTCCCTCCCTGACCTCATGTGCCCGGCTATTTCCTCGCTCGGGGTCTGTGGCTGTGAGGGCAGAGACAGAATGCATCGAGAGAAGGTCCCACAAGTCAGAAAGGGAAGTCATGGGGAGGGGCCTGGAGCAGCTTCTCTTGACTGACTGCTGTGTCAGTCACTCCTGGAACTGGGCGAGAGAAGCTTCCACACGTGCAGGAACCGGCGCCAATGAACTGGGGCATGTGCGAGCCCCTGGGGCACTCTCTCCACACCAAACACCCCCACTGGCAGACTGCTGATCTCTCCGTTTCTCTGCCTCCCCACCACCCCCCTTTCTCTCTCTCTCTCTGTCTTTTCTGAAAGTTGCTAAGTAACACTAGGCCCACCTCGACTTCCATTGAAGCCGCAGAGCTCAGCTGGGCTCTGACTGTGAGAGGGTGAACATTTACAGGATATTTGTTCCATTAAAGTTGGTGTTTGTGCAGGGACCTCGGGTGTTACCTCAGCTGAATCCACGCACAGGGGGGAGGAAGCAGAGACAGGACACCTGACCCAAACTGACCAAAGAGGTATTCCATACCACAGCACGTCATGCCCAGGATGTAACTGGGAGTTAGCCGGAAGGGCTGGGAGACGGCAGGGTTGGAGGAGGTATCGGTCAGAGCTTGGTCGGGCTGGGGGGGCGAGTTATCGGTCGGCTGGTGGTGAGATGATGTATTCTCTTCCCTTGTTATTTCCTTTATCATTATTATCATTGGTGGTAGCAGTAGTGATCTGTGTTATACCTTAGTTACTAAACTGTTCTTATCTCAACCCGTGGGAGTTGTATTCTTTTCGATTCTCCTCTCCATCCCTCCGAGAGCAGGGGGAGGGCAAGAAAAGGGGGGGAAGTGAGCGAACTAATTACCTGACTGGGTTTAAACCACGACAGTTCTTTTTGGCGCCCAACGTGGGGCACGAAGGGTTGAGATAACGACAGATCTGACCGGATTAATAGTCACTCGTCACAATGCTGATTTATTGGCTCTCAGAGTTGTTTTGCTTGATCTCACAGCTTCAGAATGTTGTAACTTACGTAGAGCCGGTATTTGCTGTGATAGTGTTTATCAAGTATGGGGCCTGGGCTAAGGTTCTTGTCTCACTGTGCTTTATGGCAATGGCTTGTAATACGGGCGGGCTCCAGCAGCAGGGCGGGACGGACGTGGCCGTGGACTTGTACCTGGCCGTCCGGCTGCTCTTCACCGGCCTGGCCCTCACCCTGCTCTCCATCTTCGTGAGGCTGCGGGGAGCCGAGGGGGAGCGGCCCCGGGAGCCGGCGGCTGCTGAAGCGGCCCGGGAGAGCGGCCCCGGGGACCAAGCGGCGGCGAGAGCGGGGCCGGAGGCCGCGAGGGGACGGCTGCCGGTGGAGGAGGTCGGGGCGGTCGAGGAGCGGAAGGAGGCGGCTGCCGAGCAGCGGGAGAAGGCGGCGGAGGAGCCGAGCCCCGCGGAGGAACCGAGCCCCGCGGCCGAGCCCAGCCCCGCGACGGCCGAGAGCGTTTCCCGGAAGCCGCCCGCCGAGCCCCAGGAGGATGCAGGAGACCCCGCAGCATTTCCCAGCAAGGCAGAGGAGGAAGAGCTGGACTCAGGAAAAGAGAAGCTGACGGTGGGAGAGCCGGCAAGCACAGCAGCTGCACCAGCCCCAGTGACAAGTACAGCAGCATCAGTTGAGAGTTCTGAAGGTTTTGAATGGCCTTTGGGTATCCTTGGGACCTGCCTGCTGATTGTGATGGGGATCAGCATGTTGGCGCACA